CTAGAGTCATTTCTTTCTTCAAGAGACTATCTGATACCATCTGAACATAACCAGGTGCTTATAAAAATAAACTTTCCAAGGCATTTTGGGACTGCTTTCTCATTAACTCAAAAAAAAAGGATAAGAAAAGAAACAAACTAAACTATATTCCTCTCTTTTCATTGCATCTGTTCACTTTGTGGACCCTTCTAGTCCCTTGACAACCTTACTTTTCTCTTATTTAGCAAATACTCTTGGGCTTCATTTTTTCCCTAAATTTAGCTCAGACTTCTCTTCACATGCCAGTTTTCTCAGTTCCCTTCACCCTTTTTCAGTGCTGCAATACCCTCCAATCCAAACCAGTAGATTAGTGCAGCCATCTGCTGCCTTCCTTCCCTTCTGAGGCAGCTGAGCACCTTGTGAGACAATTTCCAAGCTGCAGGTAGATGCCATCGCATATTGATGCCTCCCAGCCTCCACCAGGCTCTCCTCCCCAGCTAGCCAATTCATGGATTTGGTCCTCGGCACATCTATAATAGCATCTATGTCTGAATCTATTTATAGTGTGATCTAGTGGAAAACAGAATTTTGGAGTCAGATTAGACATACCTGGATTTGAATTTACAACCTGCTGGCTGTGAGATCTTAGGCAAGTCACATAATCTTTGAAGCTTAACTTGGTATGGGTATACCAGTAGTATTATAAGAATACTAGAGGCCATGTGCACAAATTCATGCATGGGTGTGGTCCCTCAGGGTCGCCTGTGGGGATTGGGCCCCAGCTCGTGCCCCCAGCCTCACAGCCCTGCAGCCCTGCCTGGCACCCTGCTGTGGCCTGGTGCCGCCCCCTCACCTGCTCCACCATCCTGTCTGTGGGATGATTGGTCAGGGCCAGCTCCCTAAGTGCCTGGGAGCTGGGCGGTGGCCCTGCCCCCTGCTACCACCACTGATTGCTGTCTGTGGGGCAATCAGCGGGGTGATCGGGCCCCCGCTGGCATCCGCCTTGGCCTGGCTCTGCACACTCATATTCTCCACCATCCTGCCATGGTCCCACTCTCGCCGGGGCCCATCAGGGCCGGCAGCACCTCCACTGCTGCCCGTTGCCAGCACTATGTCGCTGACACCCACCATGGTCCGTGCGCCCCCTAGTGGTCAGCGGACGTCATAGAGAGTGGTCCAACTCCCGGTCAAACAATTTGCATATTAAGTTCTTATTATATAGAATGTACCTTACAGTGTTGTTGACAGGATCAGTGAAATAATAATATGTATAGGCTGGTATATGTCAGTTATCACTCTTCTTCCCTACTAACTCACTTGCTCTCTTCCTTCCTAGAAAATAAAACTGGATCTCAAATTTATGGGACTCAGTGAATTGGCTGTTCAGGTTAGTTTTTGCTCATACAGATGGTCTTAAATAAGCCAACCTGTGAAACTTATAATCTTAAAATTTTCTCAATTACTTTTGGCTCTTTAGTGCTCTTTTCTGTAGCTCTTTCCCTTCTTTACTGTCATCCATATAATGAAATGAGTTTTCAGTATCAGCCATGACTTCCTAAAGTATAATTTTGAGTTTATGTATTTCCTGACTCCTCTGAAACATTTCTAATCATTAATCTCTCCCTTTTCAGGACACTCTTTCCATGAAATCACTATTCTGGTTCTCTTCTTTACTTTAACTCTTGTTATTCATTCACCACTTGAATCAGTTAATTCCCCTTCTTCTGCCTGCCCCTTAAATATTCAGAGTTCTCCCAGGCTCCAGTTTCAGCCTTTTCCCTTTTCACTCCATCCATCCTAGTTAAGGTCAGAACTGGGGTGAGGTAAACAAGACATTTAGTGCACAAAATTGAAGGAGGCACTCTCTTTCAGTGTGTGCAAGCACACTCATGTCCTACCCTAATCCAGCCCTGAATCTTTCAATACAATTTTCTGAATAGTCACTACAACCAGACCCTGTACTAGGTGCCATAATATCCATGCTCACTCTCTGGATCCTCATACACATGGTTGTAACTACTATTATTCAACAGTGCATTCCAAATATTCATCTCTAGTCAAATACATCTTCTGAATTCCAGATCTTATTTCCAGCTCGCTAACTGTACATTGCAATGTGACGAAAGAGAGCTGATGTTTATTAATGCTTCTGATATGTTGGGCACTGGGCTCAGTGCTTTGCATCCATTATTTCATTCCATCCTCATAGCAGTCCCATTAAGAGGTACTGTCTTCTCATTTTTTTGTGACTGAGAAAAACAGAAATTCACAGAGGTTAAGTAATTTGCCGCAGGTTACACACTAAAGTGTCACAGCCAAGATTTCTACTTTGGCAATCCCATGCACAGTACATGCTGTTAGGCACTAGGTTGTGTCCAGTAATCGCATAAAATGCCCAAGACATACTCTATACACTTTTTCTAAACCTGTTCTCCTCCCATACCCAGATGTTTAAGTCATATCTTTTTTACTTCCTTAATGTTACTTGAGTTCCTTTCCCTCCTTTGTCTATACTGCCAATGTCCAGGTTCAGGCTCTCCTGCTTTCCCTGGATGATTGCAGTACTCTCAAGATTGGTCTCCCCTAGTCTTGTAACCCCTTCCCTAAACAGTTGATTAGAATGTTGTCAGCCTGAGCATTCAAAATAACCCATTAGTGGTATTTGTACTTCTGATGACTACACGTTGCTTTCTATTGTCCAAATTCCTTAGTTTAGGACTTTAATTATCTGATGGCCTGACTCTGCCTAACTATCCTGCCTCACTTGTCATATTCAATATTCAAAACATACTAAGTTATTGAATATCCTCACATTCTTTGTGGATCTGGCTCTTTGCACATGAATGATCCTGTCTACATAGAATGCCCTAGGTCAGAGATTTAAGAAGAGTGAATCTACTCACTTTTTAAGACTCAGCTCAAAATATTGTCTGTCAGGTGTTTCCCCAGTTAATGTATTTCTTTTTCCATGCTCCTTTAGCACCTGGAACACACTTTAGCACATTATATTGAAATCTCTCTCCTGACCTCATGATGCTTTAGGCTAAAGAGGAGAGTCTGGTTTATCCCTAAGACCTGAGTACCTTGCCACAGTACCTGGTACCATAACAGTCACTCAATATTGTAAAGTTTTATAAAGTATATTTGTATAAAGTATAAAGTAGACTGAAGTTGTGTTTTATTCATTCCTTTCATTCACTCATTCTGAATGAAAGACAGTTTTGGTCCATGCACTTTACAAACCTGAATTGGTTTCACAGAACAGTTTTGATTTCAAAATCCAAATTGATTCAATAAAACCTAAGAGCAGCAGCCATGAAATTGCAACAGCTCAGTAAATCATTCATCGAAACTGCCTTTTAGAAGCCAATGGCAATTTAACAGCAGCAAAGAGTGCTGCATCAATACTGTCCACCTTAGGAAAATTCCCCTGGCTCTCTCCTCAAGGGCCTATTATCTTTGACTCCAATGACTCCAGAATCACACTGTCTTTCTCCTCAGTATTGTTTGAGGATCATATTTCTAACCTCTTTTTAGGCTTATCTCTTTTAGTCATTATTTCCAAAGCTCTGAAATCCCAGTTCCTCTTTTTTCTTCATATTTATCCTTTTTCCCCAACATCTGAGGTCTTTGAGCGGTCAGTAGCCCTCTTAAAAGCTCCATCATCTCACCACTTAACCTGAAGGAAGGGCTTGGATCCTTTGTCCTGCTGATCTCACACTAAAGGGGTATTTGTAAAAACTTAGCTTTATGTCCTGCTTTAATTTAGTTTTCCTGCTAAATTTCTTTATTCCTGGACTCTACCCACTTTGCTAGTTTGATTTAACCTTTGCATTCTTGTATCATTATTTCTGCATTTCAGTCTGACATCATGTCTGGAGTGGGAACCATGGGGCCAGTCTGCTTTCTGGGGATGCTTAGGGTTGGCACCCCTGATCCTGGCACTGTCAGCTACTAGATTTGATTATAGTAGGCTGACAAGTAAGTGTGATGAATGCTTCCTGTGAGAACATACTGTTTGTCTAAATGAGGTAATTTCTTTCCTGTGTGCTTTCCTTTGGGGACAGTGCATAAAGTCACTAAAGCTGTGGAAAACACAAGTGATCCACATAGCATTAACCAGTTTCTACTCTTCATGTAAATTCTTGGACTGGCTTTGCTCTCCTAAGAGCTCGAATATTGAGTTTCCCCATGTATTAACTGTGAGATCTTTAAAATAAGAAATAAAACAATTTCTTCCTGATCCATGACAAATGTTAATGATAAATAATAACTTACAAATGAAAAATTTGTCTGTTTTAACTAAAACTTTAAATTGAAAGTATATAATTGTATAGATTTTTAAAATTAAAGGCATGCCTTATTATATAGTTACAAAATTTTGAAATACATCATATATCATTTTTTTTTGTTTTGTGTTGTTAATCCTCACCCGAGCATATTTTTTTCACTGATTTTTAGAGAGAGTGGAGGGGGGGGGAGAGAAACAGTGATGAGAGAGAGATACATTGATTGGTTGCCTCCCGACCAGGGCCGGGAATCGAACCTGCAACCAAGGTATGTGCTCTTGACAAGGAGTCATACCCATGACCCTTTGGTGCACTGGCCAACATTCTAACCACTGAGCTACACTGTCCAGGGTGAACTACATCATATATCTTAAATCAAACTTTTTGTGCAGATAAAACCATTCTTTGTGGTTTTAATGTTTCCCATTTTGATTTCAAAGTTGTGAGTAAAAGTAACCAAGCAACAGTTAATTTATTCTCCATATTTTGCTCTTTCCTTGTTAAAGTATTTTCCCACATTTAATTTTTTTTAACCAAGGAGATGACTGTTTTCTAAAAGGAATTACATTGTGAAATCATAAATTCAAAGTGTCCATTAAAAATATACCATAAACATTGTAAATTTATTTAGTTTTAAAAATTAAGGAGATACATATACCAGAGAACCAGTACTTGCCAACACACATGCTGATTACTAGAATCTTAAACATTGCTGTCAAATCCTATAATTGTTATTTAGTGAAGAAGATAGCACCAGACATTTCTATATCTGAAAGACAAGCATATTCAATGTATCTTTTAAAAGGAAACAAACCTGTACATTCAGCACTGAGTAGATATCCTAAAAGACAGATGGTGAAGAGGCCTGGTGATTCTGCCATGATCATGTTCCGGCACTGCATAACCTTTGCTAGTTGATTGTGCAAGTAGCAAGGTTGACCAATTGTTCCAAAGTACAAGCTGAGCTGTATTTACTTCTGGGAAACAATGTCAGTCTCCCTCAGTGGGTTTTTGGGTTATTTGCAATGGCTTCTTGGGTTAAGTGAAGAGAATAGGCAGTAGCCACCATTAAATTTCAACTGTCATGCCATGGACTTTTGCCCCTGTGCCTGATTTGAGGCTGAAGCAGGAAGTGACACATCATTAAAATAAGGGGAGGTATAATGGCTACAGTTGCTGTGACAGCAAAATTTATCAGTGGGATCCATCTTTTCCTTGTCAGGGAGCACTACTATCATATAGTTTAAAGATAAAGAGATGGAAATTACAAAGCATTTGGTCACTCTCCTTAAAACACCCCCAATGCTTACATATCTTGAGTCACCTGGTAGATCTTTTATGTTTCTTCTCACAATGAGGAGTTTATAAACTTTCTTGTGCCATGTACTCATATTTTGAATCATATGGACCCTGTCTCAGAACACATGT